TACGTAATATATGATTGGAATCGTTGTTTACCCATTATTACCCCTGATCCGTGGAACATGGCAAACGAGGAGGCAGCAGACGGAGAAATTATGATGAAATACACTGCTCTTTGACTTTGGATTGCTGCCAAGTGGCATGCGTTTTGGAACGCTGCCGAATTTCAAAACGAGTGATCAAGCATATTTTCGTAAAAGGGTCAGTATTTCGAAAGGCAATCATGAGTGTCGCAATGATTTTGAGAATGGGTCGCCAGTGTCCGGGTGTGTTATTTGTACTTGCTTTCTTTTCGAGCTTTTTATCCCAGAATGTGTTTTTCGAATATGTTGTGCTCCTATTATTTGCTTTTGAAATGATATCAAATTGCATAACAGCGTTACTTGAGCTAAATTCATCTGTGTTCTCAACTCTTGGTTAAAATGCTCTAACTAAGAACAGTCACCGCGTTTATACAAGAGAATGCGTGAGTAACTTGGCCTCGCTGGTACTTTTGAAAGCGTTTGTCTAACAACAGCCTTGCTTTGCTTGTGTAACTGCGTCCCGCTGGTGCTTTCAACTAGGTGTGTAAGCGGCACGTAGGTTCGATCGGGCAGGGAAACAGATTTCTGCGCGTTTGGGGCAGTTCTCAAAATTGAAAGTCCTAAAGTGACACGTACGGCACTTTGAGAATACGCTGTAAATACTTGAATTCGTTGTTTTCTTTTTGTTTGAGTCGTAGTTGGTTTTCGGTCTTCAAGCGGCAAATAGGGCATGAACTGTCCTTCAGATGGATTATATTGGTTTGTGAGCGGCACGTAGGGCAATTTGATCGAACTGGGAAACAAATTTTTTGCATGTTGATTGACGGCCTTTAGGTGGCTCAGTAGTCGTGCTTTTCGGGGAGGGATCTCCTTTTGTAGTAAAACTTCATACTCCTTTGGTGAAAAAATTGAAAGATTCCCTGAAAAAGTTCTTACACGATTGATTTCGTTGCTGTCGGAATTGATTCTGCGAGAAAAGTGTTTTTCGTAGTAAACATAGTTGTTATGGATGTATGTCTACTTCCAAACTATAGGTGTTCTGCTACTTCTTCTATGGAACTTGTTGAGAAGAACTGGAAGAGCAAAATCTCCTTGAGAGGGTAGAAAAGTGGGGGGGAGGGTATCTAAATGTCTCTGTGAGAGGGGAAATTTGCAGAAAGAGCGTGGTAAAACGAGAGAAAAATAATGCTTTCCGTGCATTGTTGTAGCAGGAAGTTCGAAAAATGCTTTTGTGGAGATTATTGCATCTTCGAGCAGTTCTCCTTTTGTAGAATGCTTTTCGCGAAAGTGTTCTCAGGAAAGGAATAGGAAACTTAAGAAGTATTCATAGTCACAACAAGCCCTTATATTGTATCTGCCCCACCCACTTGCTAGCGACCCGTAGGGTCGCTAGTAATGAATTTGTTGTTTACCGCTTGGCCACCCCAGATCCGTGAAACACGGCAAACGAGGAGACAGCAGACGGAGAAATTATGATGAAATGTACAGATGTTTATTCTTGAATTGCTGCCAAGTGGCATGCGTTTTAGAACGCTGCCGAATTTCATAACGAGTGACGAAGCATATTTTCGTAAGGGTCACACGTATTTCGAAAGGCAATCATGAGTGTCGCAATGATTTTGAGACCGGGTCGCCAGTGTCCGGATGTGTTATTTGTACCTGCTTTCTTTCGAGCTTGTTATCCCAGAATGTGTCTTTCAAACATGTTGTACTCCTATTAGTTGCTTTTGAAATGATGCCAAATTGCATAACAGCGTGATTTGAGCTAAATTCATCTATATTCTCAACTCTCGGCAAAAAGCTCTAACTAAGAACAGTCACTTCAGGATTATCTTGCTTCCGCGTGTAGACAAGAGAGTGTGTGAGTAACTTGGTCTCGCTGGTACTTTTGGAAGCGTTCACCTAACAGCATTTTTGCTTCTGCTTGTGTAACTGGGTCCCGCTGGTGCTTTCAATTACGTATCGCTGTGTAAGCGGCACGTAGAGCAATTCCATCGGGCAGGGAAACAGATTTTTGTAGGGGCAGTTCTCAAAATCGAAGGTCCTAAAGTGGCACGTACGGCGATTTAAGAATACGCTGTCAGTTATTACTTGGTCTCGTAGTTTTCTTTTTGTAGGAGTGTAGTTGGTTTTTCTCATATTAGGCTGGACCCAAAGTTCGTGCGCAGCATCTTCAAAAATTTATAATTTTCGCTATTTTCAAACGAATTGCGTGTTTTCCTTTATTAATTGAAAGAGCAAGTCATTATAAGCGGTAGAAGAAAGTTACTCAAATTTCTGTGCAGGGTCATAAAAAATCTAAAACTTGCAGTAAAAATCGGAGCAGTCATGTAGGTTCTTCACCAGCTTTTTTTAACTGTGCAAAGAAGTTTGCGCTGATTGAGCGTCTCCATGAAAAGTTATGATTTTCGACCAAGCAATAGAAAAGGGAGAATTTTATTTATTTTAGCATTTTTCAAGGAAGTCAATTTTTCATAGAGACGCTGAATCAGCACAAACTTTGCACAGTTAGAAAGAGCTGGCGAAAGAACCTATAATGCTGACTGCTCCGATTTTTACTGCAAGTTTCAGATTTTTTAAGACCCTACACAGAAAATACAAAATTTGAGAAATTTTCTTGTACCGCTTACATCTATGCAATGTATGCTCAATAGAATGTCGCTAAGATACGCTATGAAGAGAATGACTTGCTCTTTCAGAAAATAATTGAAAACACGCAATTTGGTTGAAAAAAGCAGAAGTTGTGAATTTTTGAAAATGGTGCGAATGAACTTTCAGTCCCGTAATATGTACGGTCTTCAAGCGGCACATAGGGCATAAAATTTCTTTTTAAATAGTTACTATCGGTCTGTAAGCGGCACATAGGGTAATTTGATCGGACAGGGAAACAGATTTTTGTACGTGGGGCACTTTTATAATTTTCAAACGGTCTTCAAGCGGCATGTGGGGCGGGGCATAAATTGTCTTTCAGATAGATGATGCTGGTTTGTAAGCGGCACGTAGGGCAGTTTGATCGGGCAGGGAAACAAATTTTTTGGTTTGTGCAGTTCTTATGATTGACGGTCTTTGGGTGGCTCAGTAGTCGCGTGCTTTTCGGGGAGGGATCTCCTTTTATAGTAAAGCTTCATATTCCTTCGGCGTAAATGTTAAAGGATTTTCTGACAAAGTTCTTAAACGATTGATTTCGCTGCTGTCGGAATTGATTCTGAGAGAAAAGTGTTTTTTGTAGTACATATAATTGATGGGTGTATTTCTACTTCCAAATCGATAGGTGTTCTGCTACTTACTTAACGATATTTTACTGAACTTGTTGAGAAGAACTGGAAGAGCAAATTCTCTTTGAGAGGGTAGAAAAGTGGGGGGGGGGTATCTAAATGTCTCTGTGAGAGGGAAAACTTGCAGAAAGAGCGTGGTAAACGAGAGAAAATAGTATTCTCCGTGCACGGTTGCAGCAGGAATTTCGAGAAATGCTGAATGATTTGTGGAGATTATCGCTTCTTTGAGCAGGTCTCCTTCTTTAGAATGCTTTTCACAAAAAAGTTCTCAGGAAAGGAATAGGAGACTATTCAATTTTCATAGGCACAACTAAGCCCTTATATTGCACCTGCCCCGACCCACTTGCTAGCGACCCCTAGGTTCGCTAGTCCCAATAAATATTGTTTTTCCAGAGGTCTGGAACAACAGGTTATTCATTAAAGAATTAATGATTGCTGCCATTCAGAGGGTTAGCACTTTATGCGCTATTATTCCAAGCTCCGACATTCTTCTTCAATGACATCAAAGACTGTTTGCTGTAGAAGTGGCGATCCCAGAAATATATATTTGGGGAGGAGTACAAAAAAATTTTCGCTCAAAATGGTTTTTATTATTTGCACGCCTATACGAAAACGAATTTATGTTAATTCACATAGACTGATCACAATGATTTCGCGAACCATAGGCACTAAAAGCATTTTTTGATGCGCAGAAAAAGCAAAAGTAGAGTTTATATGTCTTTATAATACGGAAACTGGTCAAGATCGGATAAAGACGAAAAATAGCGCTATCACTGAACAATCTGGATTTTGTGGAATTATGTACCCTTATCTCGATAAAAGTTGCTTAGTACATTATAACATTAGCTTTCCTGTAGCTGACTGCAAAATTAATATTACGACAAGTTCTCAATCTTATAATAAACGCTACTTAACTTAGTTTCTTGGCACCATTGCTTCTTGATATATGCAAAGGAATGCTGGATTCCTTTTATTCAGGATCTGCTCATATCGAAGTGCATAACATCAATTCGATCAGATCAGAAATCTACAATCTGCGGTGCATAAGTTGAGACTAAAGGCTCACAAACGCTTACTAGAAACTGAGGCAAATACATTATGAGAATTTAGTCTCGCTAAAATTCACCTAACGCAAGTATGCAGGGATGGGCTACCTTGCAAAATACTTGTCATCCGCCTTGAAAAATAACTCGAACTACATAGGGATTTATCTCAGAAAGCGAATGTCAAGTTCTTAGAAAGAAGAGAGGATATTGAAATAAGAAATAAACATAATATTATCGTTCTGATATACTTCTAAGAAAATACGGCAAAAACAAAGCTTTTCAACAAGGTTTAGACTCTGTTTGTTTGGAGCATCTTATTTTTCGGCCGATGGACGTTGGCCAAATACTGTACGTCATATAGGACCGCTAGCTGTGTCTGGTCTTGATGAGAACTAGATACTTTTTGAAAGTTTAAAGCGGATCTCAGAAGTGTCATAACTGTCTGGTCAGTATTTAAACCCGAGCTGCTATTATTTCCTCCATTTCATGATTTTAGTTTTGCATTCCATTTTGCAGAAAATTTCTGTTTTTAAATCTTCCATTTTCGTGAGTTTGTATATGTCGTCGTCGCATAATCAGTTGTTGTTTTTGATGTTTTCTCTTCCTCTTCTCTTCTTTCTCTAACGCTGCTGCAAACTTTCTCTTTTTCCGCGTCTTCAATATGGTTTTCTTAGGTCAGGCTAGCCTTCGCTCAAAGGGCCCCCAGAAGCGTTCTGGGGCCGAAACGCCCCTTTTGCGACACACCTTTTTGAGGATTAGCCGTTTCGGCTAATCCTCAAAAAGGGTTATGGTAGAGTTTGGTGCCATTGAACTGTTGTCTCGTGATCTTATTTTCTTGTAAATCTGTTAATTTTCTTGTTCCACTATCGATAAAAATAGATCACAATAAGTATCTGTTTGTCCACTCAGGGTTGAACTATTTCCCATATTGCCTATATTGTTCTCTACGGGTCAAATGTGGAAAGAAAGGTGAGTCTCCGATTATCTAACTTTCTTCGCGTTTCAAATCAAACTTTATAAGCCATATTAAGAGCGTCATGACTCAGAGCGGCGCATCCATCCTTTGTTTGGACATCCTTCAATAACATTCAGCGATGATTCATAAACGAATGTGCTTACTCGAGTTTTTATGTGTTTCCGCCTATAAAAGGTCATTTGCTCTTATAATTTCCGAGAATGAGAAGTAACGTCTTTTCAGACATTTTTATTTCCACTCCATTACGGTCGTAATTTTTATTAACTGTTATATTCCTGCTACTTTTTCTTTTCTGCTCTTTGGTGGTATATTCCGTCAAGTGGCATGCATTGTCAGAACTTCATTGTTTTGCGTCGCTTTATTGTTCAGTTGTTTCGAGTGATTGATCTTCGGTTTTATCAAGTGGAAATCGCTCTGATAATCAGCTGAATGCAAACAATCTGCTGAAGAAAGCTTCCACTGTAGGCGAAAAATTCATTTGTGCACTCTTGAATATCAATTTCGATGTTTTGAAAAACAGTTTGTTTACAACGCTCTGTATAATTTGATGCCAAAATTGAACTACGTTAGCATCGTGATGCTCAAAACAGCATTGTTCAAAAGATTTCTGCAACAGTTTCGTTTTATTTTGAACTCCATTTCATCTTGATTTCACAAAGGTGGCTATACTTAACAAATATCGCATTCTTGCAAAAGGTTGCATGATGCCTTTTTTCGAGTTTCGTTTATGATTTTAAGAATATAAGCTAACTTTTGATCAGATTAATGAATCCCTTATGGTTTTATTCTTCAAGCTAGCTCAAATTCAAGAGTTCTTTGAATTACTGTTCCATTTTGTCGCTGAGATCTTCTGTCCCCATAAAAGTCGCTAAGAAGAGGACTTGAATAGGGTTGTCGTTTTTATTGGAGGGAACACAGTGCTTTGGTCACGATGTCTTGAGTCTATAGTTTCCCGCCTACCGTTGCTAATTATCGACAGTCTGTTCATTTTTGCAAGATCAAATTCACTCACTAAAAAGCAAGTCGGAAGTTGCTTCTCAATGGTAATTTAGTTGGGTTGAAGCATTTATAGAGCCTGCAAAAATCTTCAAGTTGATGAAAACGTTTCAGAAATCATACATTCATGTAGCGTATGAAATTATAAGTTTTAATTATTGCCGACAATTGCTTTTTGTTTTTTTATATTCTGGAAATATAATTCATGATTTGTTTCTTCCAGGGATGTCGACATGGACCACAATAGGTGCGAAGCCTCCAATAGCACCGAAACCGACGGAGGAAGATGAGTGGGAGACCGATCCAGATTTTGTTGTGAGTTCAGATCTTTTTGGTAGATCACACTATGGACCTGTGTTGAACGTATGTAATTTTTTACGATATTATATTGATTTATTGGTGCTAGTCCTTGTTCCAGAATGACATGGATGAAAAAGCAAGCCGTTGGGGTGCTAAAACTGTGGAAGGATCCGGTCATCAAGGACATTTCAGCGTAGTGAAGATGAGGCAAGAAGCTCTTGAAGCGGACAAAATCCACCAGGTAGGGTTATTAGCTAGCTATTGATTAAACTATTATGTCTTTTTTTGGTCGAAAATGCTTGAGCAAATGCCAAAGACTAGCGAGGGTTATGGAGGAAAATTTGGTGTAATGACCGATAGAATGGACAAGGTGTGCTTACGGTTGTGTACATTGTATATTCCACTTTTTTTCTCGTTTTCTTATTCTCTTGTTGGAATTTTATTTCTTAGGCAGAAGTGTCATTCGACTATAAAGGCAGAGTGGATCCACATGCCTCTCAAAAAGATTATGCTGTTGGATTTGGTGGTAACGGTTTTGAAACAGACAGGAAAGATAAGTCTGCTGCCGGATGGGACGAAAAAGTTGAACTTTCGAAACATGAAAGTCAAAAAGGTGTGTACTTGTTTTCGTGCTTGATGCTTATCGTCTGTGCTCAAAGTTTGCTATAACTAATCTTTTTCAAAAGTATCTTTTCTGCATGCATCTAATTTTGTGCATCGTGTTTGTTTTGTCTCTCATTGATAATGTATGCACAGATGCATCATCCGGATACGGCGGTCGTTTCGGCGTTCAAAAGGACAGAAAAGACAAATCAGCTGTAGGATGGGACGAAAAAGTTGAACTTTCGAAGCATGAAAGCCGAAAAGGTGAGGGAGGAGTTTGTTAGATTGGTTCTTCACTAATTATCTTCATAATCAATCATCAGTTTATTCATTGCCATCGTTTGTCGACCTAAACGATGTCAATTTTAATTCCATGTCAAATGTTCGACTCGCGAGCCCTTTCTGTGACTCATCACCGTTTAGCATTTGTTGACGAGAACTATTATCGCACGATCCTGTCCAATTTTCGGATTACAACGCGCGTCTTCGCGCTCGATCATTGCGCCTGCCTCATAAGCGTCTGTTTTCCAATCATAATGAACGAGGGCTATGAAAACAGCAAAAAAAGAGATTGGTTTTATAGAGGGAATATAAAGGTTTGGGGATTAGCGATTTCGAGAGCGTGTACAATACTCCTGTTTTCGTGTTGGCAATGGGAGATACATCAATAAGCTCTTCTGACTTGACTGATGACTTTTTCATATTTTCTCAGTTGCTTTATCTCGTTACTTTCAATTTTTTCGATTTTCCAAATACGCTTGCATTTGTTAGCATTTTTATTGGCTTTTCTAGACGTTACTACCGGTTACGAAGGCCGTTTTGGAGTACAGAAAGATCGCGTGGATAAGTCTGCAGTGGGCTGTGTTGAACATACAGATCTTACAAAGCATGAGAGTCAAATGGGTGCGTTACTCCATCATTTGTTGTATCTTTCTACATCTTCTATTATGTCTTACTCATGCAACTTGACGTTTTTCAGACTATAAAAAAGGGTTTGGTGGAAAGTTTGGAGTCCAGACTGATAGGCAGGACAAATCGGCAGCCGGATGGGATACACTTGAGCAAGTCCCAAAACACCCCAGTCAGCAAGGTGAGTACTGTCACAATAATTTCTGTGATTCCTCTCGTAGTATTTTATCGTTACTTTTTCATCTATAAGTGACTGCGTTTTGTTACGGTATATACTCTTCGTTTAGATTACAAACAAGGTTTCGGTGGCAAATTCGGTGTACAATCAGATAGACAAGATAAGTCTGCCGTTGGATACGATACTCATGACGATTTGAAAAAGCATGAAAGTCAAATGGGTGAGTGATTATCTCCCCTATTGTTCAATGTGTGGTACGTTTGAGTTCGTTATAGTGAATTTCTAGACTATAAAAAAGGATTTGGAGGCCAGTTTGGTGTGCAGAGGGACAGGCAGGATCGAAGCGCTGTAGGTTGAGTACCATCAGCAGCATAAGAGAATTTTTCTCTTTCGATTAATTTTGTTTTCGAAAAATTCTACATTTCTACTGTCTGTTACCTTCCAAAATCTTTCGCAAGAATGATAGCTTTAGTTTTTCCGTTCTCTTCGGACTCACCTTTCGGAGTTCTATTTAATGAATATGCACATATGATGTGTTCCAGAGTTTTTTCATGGATATCTCCACTGGACCAAATGGCGCCCCAAATGGACTCTGCTGGCACATGTGTGATTGGTTGGAAATTCACCCGCGCTAGCACAGCTGTGGTCTTAGGTGAGTATCCTTTATTATAGTCTCATTGTCAATTAGCGTCTATCTGCAGCTATGTTTCTCCATCGGTGCCGTTTAGGCTCATGTTGGCAATGATTCTATTGTTGAAAACATGGAGTCAATGTTCTTTATGGAATTTTTCGTCTCTTTCTGCACACCCATCTCTCACAGGATTTATGCAGGTGCGTTGTTTTTTGTTCCATAATCCAGATGTTTCGATATCTGGTCGTCTGCATAATGCATTTTCTAATTACACTGTTTTCGATCTTGAGATGTAGCCTTCTGCATAATGCATTTTCTATTTACACTGTTTTTGATCTTGAGATATAGCCTATCTCAAGAATGTGGCAGCTCCAGCTGGTCATCCGCAGCCGGCTCGCTCGACCTCGTCGGGCTTTTGTAAAGGTCGTCTGCGAACGGCACAAAGCACGGGCGAATCGCGGCGACTGCGCGGGGCTCAACCTGCGACACTCTTGTTGAGACGACCTCCTTCACTTCTCAGTCAAGAAGCTAACAACATTCTCCAAATCGTCGCGAATCGCTCGTGCCTAGCGCCACGTTCGCAGACAACCCTTACAAAACCGCAAATTTGACCGAAGTTTTTGCAGCAGTTTTTAAGTTCGACTATGCATCCACAGTAATCGTTACGCTTTTCTAATACTGTTACTTGTTATCGCTACTTTTCGTTTTATTTTCTTGTCGCTCATATGAAGTTTTTTTTCTGTCAGGCCGTCGCTTCGAAGTTTATGGAGGCGACAGTGTGCTGCATTGAGGCCTTGTAAGGCCCCGGGCAGACTTCACGCGATTTGATCGTCGCGACTGAATCGCGACGAGACAACTGTTACAACATCATTCCATGCCGATCAACTTGCATTCGGTTGTGATACTTTTCCAGTCCGAAAATTTTGAATGTGAAATGAAAATGAATGGAAATCTTGGCGATTAGATCGCGACGATTAAGTCGCCTGAAGTCTGTCTGGGGCCTAAGGCTGCGACCCGTACCAGGAGGCCGGGTTCATACTGATCTTTGAGTTCTAGAATTCCAGCACCGTTCGTATTGTGCGCTGTGTCACTTAGTGTTTTTTAAGGGGGTAAATGGAGGTGGGGTGAAGGCTAAAATTACAAATCGAATCTAAAATCATCCAAAAAGTCAAAATCAAAAAAAATGTATACGATGAGTCACTTTTATTTATAAGGCATTGAGGCCCCTTTGCACGTACATCCACATGGGGAGGTGAGGGGATCTGAGAAGGGATGCGTCATATCTCCCTGGCTAGATATCTTTCTTTTTCTTTCTCTATCTGCATGATGGTTCTCATACCGTGATACCTGCGCACATTGGATGCCAGGTTACTGCCATACAAGATTAGATTTTCACTGTTTTGTGTGATTCCCTGGAGATGTATGGCAGTACACTGGCAACCGTTATGCGCAGGTACACGGTATGAGAACCATTATAATGCAGAGAAAGAAAAAAGAAGAAAGATATGCAAAGCAGCGAGATATAACGCGTTCCCTCTCAAATCCCCGGGTGGGGGGCTATATGTAATCGAAAGCGGGAGGTCCCGCTGGACATCTGCTCAAATGTACATTCCAGTACATGCAAAGGCTGAGTATCTGCTGCATTGTCCGCGCGGATCCTCCCACTTTCGGCGACATATAAGGCAGCATGAATTAACATCCCCGCTGGGGATTAGATCGCAGCTTACAAAAAGCTTCATATCCTGGAGCTCTAGATATTTGGATTTCACGATGTATACCTCTCCGTAAGTATTCCTACCATCCTTCCCTATGGTCATATTGAACAGGAGTGAGAAGCTGTGCAAGCCTCATTTTCTAGCGTTTTGTATGATCCCCTGATGATCCTCGCGGCCGACCGTCTTCTCTTCGGAGAAGAGAAGACGTTTTTCTTTGTTTTTCTTTCTTCAAAGTTAGCGCAAACATTACAAAGTTGTACTGTTCATCTAGTCCATTAGTGGTAGGCATATTGTGCTGATAAGAATAAAGGATGTAATGGAGTCATGAAATTTGCGATGAACCACAGGTCGGAAGTAGGGGTTTACCGAATAATTTGATATTTGAAAAACTCATTGTTCTTATAAGCATAGATAATCAGTACAACTTTGACACGTTTTCGTTGACTTGAAGAGAAAAGTGACTCTGAAGAAAAGACGGTCGACCACCGGGGATCATCAGGGGATCATACAAAACGCTAGAAAATGAGGCTTGCACAGCTTCTCTCATGTTCAATATGTTCATAGGGAAGGATGGTAGGAATACTTACGGATGGACAGACAGCGTGAAATCCAGAAGTTTGGAGCTTTAGAATATGAAGCTCACTTTATAAGCTGCGATTTCCTCCCTGGCGGGGATGTTGATGCATGCGGCCATAGTCCTCTACCCCAGATCTCCTCCCCTTCCCACTCCCCGGGGATATACGTGCCTACGACCTAAGAATGAGTTTGGCTAGCCAAAACATGACGGCTCTTTTATTTACTTTTACGCTGGACATATGATAGCTGATTTCACAATGAACATGTACATCCTTTGTTGTTGACGCTGTCTATCGTCAATTCAATATAACGACTGCCTTTTAGGTGTCTTGGAAGAAGCTGTATACGCGTTTTGAGAATCGGTTATAATTTTTCGTTGTTCGGCCTACTTTTGGTGTTACAAGGAACGACATTTGTTTGACTGTTCGAAGGTGGTTCTGACTCTCACGGTACTGGAGACGATGTATCGTCTATGGAAGTACGAAATCAGGGCAAGTCTGAATGCAGGTCCTTATAGCGATCAGTGTTTTTTTTTTTGTGTGCGAAGCAGTTGTTTTATAGAGCTATCAACATCTACGGGGTATTGAGACAAGCAGGTGCCCTTCATGCAGGTAATCACACCTGTTCACACTCTGGAGTTCATCAGAACTCGGTGGATGCCTAAGTAGCCGTGTCCGTGTAGGAACTCAATTTGCTCACAGAATTTGATAATAAAGCTCTTATCAAGAATTCTTCCCTTTGCATTACCTTCATTTCTTGTCCTTTTGTTAACACCTATGCGATTCGTCCGAATTTGCTTGACTGGAAGGTTATCAGTGGCTTTTGTGCAAAACTTTCACGGGAGTGGTTAAACAAGAGGTAGAAGCTCAGCGATGTCTTAGTTATATCCGTGCACTGCATCACTAGGAGTCAAGAGATTCAAATGTTTTCAAAACAGGTGGAGTCCTTGAACAGGATATGAAGTTTAAGATGAAGCCGGGACTTGTAAAATATATGGTAGACTGTTGAACATAGCATCTCGTCCATTATGTTGTGTTCTGAGTAGCTCAAAATAGGGGGGGGGGGAGGGAGGGGGTAGCTAAATCTTGAAAAACAAAAAAGATAATGCGAACAGGCGATCCCTCAGTGCAGCTAGTTGCTATCTTTTTCATTTCGTGTATGTGAAAGGCGCTCGTTTCGGCAATCGAATATTAAGAGACTAGATTCATACTCCACACTAGTCTTTCAGTCGCTCTCGATATGACCGTCTTGAGGAGACAGTGGGAATTCGGTTGAGTAGTACGACAGATAATGCAAACAATTGTTTAGCGTGTTTGGCGTTTTCGAAGGCAATTGCATATGACAATTAACAAAGACCGAACTTAAATTTAGAGAGATGATCAATACCACAAGAAACATGTGTTAGTAATGACCCGTTGACTAATCCTGTGCCCACAAAATGGCAAGAACTGACTATTAGGCCATGTTGTACTTTTAACCTTCCAAAATGCGCTTGAACTCACTTTTCTAAAAGGATTTTCCTACACATGCTCTTAGAGCTATCATTCATTAGTTACACCATACATTTCTGACAAGTTCAAACCACTCTTTTCATTTCTAGTAGTAGAACAATTGAATGGGGTGAATTACGAGTTTTGACTCGTACAATACGTGGTCTTCTCGAAAAAGATTACGTGTAAATGAACGATAGGATCAATGGCTCGAATGAAGGCAAGCTGACTCGTCGAAGCCTCAACTGAAATTTTATTCAGTTGAGATCGACTGAAGCAGCTTTACTACGGGCCATAGAGGTCATTCTTTAAATACTGATCTCAAATATGCTATTCCTAGCTGCGCCGCACCATTTCGAAGAGAGTTATGGGCTTTTTAATAGGTGGAATTGGTATACTACTTAATATGAAATGAATACCTGTAAGTAAAATACACAACAAAAAGGCGCGGAGATATCGAAATGACACCAGATTCGATCTTTTCCGACTGAAAAGAAGCTTAACGCAAATGTATTAGCACTTACAAGGAAACGATACTCGGTGTCCATGGCCTTTTGAGATGAGATATATACCATTCACTCGTCTTCGAACACTGATTCCGAATCTGCCTTCTGTTTCTGCTAATCGCTTCAAAGATGTTATAATGGATCGCGCGGATTCTGGCTGCCCAGTGAAATATGGTCGGAGCGGCGGCACTAACGGTGCACTGTGATCTGGTGGATAGTGCGATAAACTCATGAGCTGACGCAGGTCCAGGTTTGAGTCTTTTTGTGTTTTTCTGTTTTGCATTGCCTCAATTAACCTTCTTTCGCATCATCGAGCTGAGTGAACAACCTTACTCTTCAAAAAATGTGGAAATTTGGAAAAAATGATTACTATTTGCGCTAAATTGTATCCAGCGATCATAGTTCAAGTAAATTTCCACGAACAAGCTTGAATGAGGTAATGCAAAAGTAAAAACACAAGAGATTTGAACCTACGTCTGCATCAACGTGTAAGGCTATCGCACTAACCACTGGACCAGAAGGTGGCCGGGGTAGAGGCCGTTCCAATGACCATATTTCTCTTGAGCAGCCAAACTTGGCTCGAAATTCCCTTACAATTTCTTTCAGAGAAACGATTAGCAGAAACGGAAGGCAGATTCGGAATCAGCGTTTGAAGACAAGTTTAATGGTATGAATCATGTTTCGAAAAGCCTTGGACGTTGAGTATCGTTCTTGTTAGATGCTGATGCCGTGATGCCATACCGTTTAGATTATATCAATGAGAGTTGAGGCATGCTAGTTCATACAAAAATTTGTGGATGTCTTCGAAATAGTGCTGTTGGTTCCAACTCCCCTCGACATAAAGAGACAGTGTATGTGAATTATTAGGTTGGTAAGAAAGTTCTCGGACATTGCCTTTACACAAAGATAATGCTTCGATGCAAGCACTAAATTTGACATGCTGTACATCATTGGATAGAGGAAAGCAGACACTACAAAACCCTACTAATCACAACCATGAATAATGAATCCTGTGAAAATGGAGATGAAAACTCGAAAACATAGGATTTTTTCGACAGAGGTCAGAACTCCACCTTCCGTAAACACTGTAACACTCACAAATACCCCAATATATAGTAGGCATGGACTCACATGCGTTTATGCAAGGTTTGTATGGAATTTGAGCTTAATTAGCAGGAAAAATGAGATAATCGAAAAGTTGCAAACTCCGCCCCTAATGACCCTAAGCTCCTCCCACCTGCACAGTATAAGCTGCGTATATGTGAGAGTGCAACCACAAATCTTCGCATTCGTAAATGCATTACAATCTGAGAAATAGCGATGTTTGCGTGAAAATGTCCAAAAACTTTCTTACCAACCTAATAGAAGAAAAAGGACGGAAAATTGTATGGAAGTTATTGTTTTGGGTCCTTGTCTGTAAAACTGCAGTTGTTCTAGAATTTTTTTCAGATTGAAAGAAAATTTTTCCATGTTAAGCATCATGAATGCGACTTTTCAAATTGCCCTAATCTACAGTCTGATAATCATTTTTTTGCAAAAATCTATGCGCATCTCTCTTAAGATATCAGGAATGTAATATTTGGTAATTAACATGCTTCAACTTATGCTACCCTAGCTTTACCGAATATCGACAACAATCTTATGGGTACTTCTTACTTTCCAAGTACAGTAAATTTCGAATGAAACTACCGCAAGGCAAGAATTGATTTGCTCTTGTTACTGGTTTTTACGTTCACCTTTTCGGTTCGAACCTCGAGTAAGCATTTATTACGAACGCGAATTCGTGTAAAATTTTCTTCGGAAAATACGTCAATAAAATCACAATCGTAAACCGCCTTAGTATTCTCGTTGCCCTTCCCCGTTTTTTGACTTTCGAAAGCTACGAACTGCGTTGACAGCTGGCCATCTGCCAGATTCCTCTGCTTACAATCAGGTCATCGGCCACCTGTTCGTTGCTCGCTTTTGCTTCTCACTATGCGCATTATGTCAGCTGTGATTTAGCGCAATACATTCAAATCATGCCATGACGTTGAGAGTGATGTGAAAAGTGCTTATTCTCAGCAAAAAGAGACAGCTGATTGATGAATAAAAGGTGAATGAATATGGTGGTGACTCATGCTGGAAAATATAGTTTACTTTCAATCGTGTTGAAATCAGAGCAAAATTGATTGAATAACTGTCTCATCAAGGTGAATTATGCGACAAGAAGCTGTCATGACACCAGACTAGTCATTTCGATCCCTGATACAACATTCTCGTCAAGCAACATTTACATTTTATTTTTTAAGTTGGTCGAAAGCACAGAATAATTTTGCGGTCAGGGGCACGTTTTTTTCGCTCCAAATTTTCGAAAGTAGCCATATCATTATTTCATCCTTGAGTCTATCTATTTGTGTAATAACGAGTGGATTTCAACTTGTTTTCTCTGTCACAAAAGTATAAGGAATGTTCTCCAACACCTCGAAGCATATGCTGGTCTCACAACAAGGGAGTCTGATTTTATTCGTCATTTGCGAAATAATGCGCAGACATTATGCCAGACCGTATCCTTTAATTCAATTAGCTTGACGGCTGGAAGCCGGGGCTTTGTGACCCAATTAAGGCCGCTCGCGCTCACGACGCAGTCTGCGTCTCTCTCACAAGCGTGCTCTCTGATCATTACCTAACCCTAATTAGGTTACGAAGCCCCGCCTTCCAGCTCCAAGCCAGTTGAATCAAAGGGTAAGTCCATAATGATTTCCATTGCGAGAGGTAACGAATGGTAAACTATATCACAAAAGCACCAACGTACTTCATTACCTGCGGCATGAAAAAAAAAACGCTGAGCTCAAGAACCTACGGAAGGAAGAGCAAATTAGAGGCTCGAAAGTGTATTTGTACTCCTCATTACCTTCTAGGGGCTCCCAACTTGCTTGCTAATTATTGACTTGGTTTACTAGAATGTGTTCTTATTACAAGGGCGCAAGGTAACTTCAAGGTAACTTGTTCATTCCTTGTCAAATCACATATTACCAAAATGATTCTAGCCTTCTGTTGCTAGCTTGTATTTTCGTTATTCTTTTTTCACAATGCACACTAGGTCTCCCACTAGCTCCTGTCAGGTATATCAGTGATCAGAATTATTGAGTCCCAAATCTCACACACTTTTTTCCACCAATGTGCGAAATGCAAACTGATGGTAGTTTGAATGATTCTCCAGAGTGTATTTCTACTGTAATTTTCCGATAACTTGCCCCTGCTCCTTATGTACACGAATTTGGCTTGAAAGCAAAAAAAGAAAATGTATAACCCCCAAAAAACTGAATTTCATCGTACCTGCATCATCACTTACCTACTTTGGCTAGGTCACCAATTTTCGCTTTCTAAAACCAAAGCTACAGAAAGTCTTGAAAAAATTCCGTAAGAAAGATCAATACTCAACAAAGTTTTTTTTTAAATTCGTACGAAGTCACTCAATTATAAAAGGAATGAATAGTTATCCCGGCAAAATCAGAATTCGATCCGTTCGCGTTCAGCATGTTCCCCTCTATAAACAGATCCTAAATTTCATTGCTCAATTTTGAAAGAAAATAGTACGATAAATATTGTTAGAACTACGAACTTCCCTTTTTTGAATACATGGTCCTTACAAATATTCACCTTGTCTGAGTATGATGAATCTTTGAAATCGTAATCGTGCACTCAAAC